GACATCCCTGCATTCTTTTGCTTCACCTACTTCTAGTGTACTTCTGGAAGCCTTCCCCTCGAGGTTAGTCTCATTTCCGCCCTTTATGCATGGGCCACGCAGCTGTTTGTTGGAGGCCACCCTCACCTCACAAGGGTAGAGAGTGGTGGCGTAACGGACACCCACCCCCTTCCCCCCTAGATTGTATTGTCACAGACGTTGGCGGCTGATCTCTCTGTGATGTGAGCCGGATTCTCTCGTGAACAGTGTGCGTTCTATGTCAAGGGACGAGAGCGCATGTCACGCAACTGCAGCCATGGCTGTGATGACCTCTCATTGCCCTGCGAACTTGAGACTTCAAGTGGATTGCGGAAAGCGCCATAGGCAACAAGTACAGAGCGGGCAGCATAAACTCCGCTGGGTAACCTGCCAGGTGTGCGGAGGTTAGGACAATATGAGCCAGGCCGTCGGAAACCATGGAAGCTTGGCCTGTCACGGGCCTGGGATAGTGGTGGGAGGGTTAGCAGCCTCAGTGGCCCAAGCATCGTCTTCCAGAAGACCCGTTCCTTCCACGACCACCCCTGGCATGCTGCAGGTGCCATGTAGAGTGCACGGTGAGGGAGTACCACAACATGCGGAGTCTGTTGCCTGCTCGGCCTGCTCGAGGTGATCGGTTCGCGTGTGGCAGTAGCCAACATCGATCGGTACACGCACTGGCGATAGAGTGACGGAAAGGGAAGACTATTGACGGAGCATTGCGTGCCTTGTTCCGACAGGCTTAGCAAGCTTATGATGCACGGCGAGGGAGAAGCCCGAATTCAGTTTATCCGAGCACCCAGAAGTCTAGAGACAGTGGTGTGCTGAAAGGGAGCGGACCCAGGCAGCCCAAACATGACAGCCGTGTCCCGACGACGAATTGGAAATGTCGAGAATAAACAGTGGCTCGGCTTGTTCTCGATCGAGAAAGGGAGTCGAAACAACGCAGGGACGTTCTTCCGACAGTATCTTTGCGAAAGGCCAGCTTCCAGTATGGCGCCGTCTGAGAACACAGCAGGAAAGCACTCGCGCTTGTTGAGCGTGATGGTGATCCGAAGACGTCGAATCAATGCTGGATGTACCTGGGCGCCGTCGGTATTTAGAGACTCGTTCATTTGACGGATCGCTGGGCACAGGCTCAAAAAGGACGTAGTGGGCGGCCTTGTCGTTCAGCCCTCGAACAGCACTGCTCAGCAGATCTTAGATCTCTCAATACCCAGAGTCCAGAGCCCCATGACCAGTGACCGACGGGGTGGGAAATGAGCATGACGTGAATGAGGAGGGCTGTCATCACGGCCAAAGCCGGTCCATCTTGAATTAGGCAAGGTGGGCCATGGACAAGCTAATTGATGTCTCAGCCTGCAACTTGGTCAGTGTCCACAGAGTGGGGATGGAGGAAATAGCCCGATGTTGGACGAGACTGTGGAAAGGCAGTAAACGTTCAGAGGACAGTGTGGCTTACGATTGATGGAGAACTCGGTCAGAAACACGTAAACAAACATGGCTGACGACGCTATAGAGGATCGTGATGCGCTTTCAAATGCAATAGCAGAATAGAAACAATAGTCATGCTCCTCTGCCGGCAAGCAAGGGAAGAAAATATGTTCTGGGCGGACAGTGGAGAGGGAAAAGGAGAAGTGGCCAGGATCTGGCGTCCTTGCATTGACCGTGCCTGCCCATGTGCACATCCCTTCTGGAAAATAAATGGAAGGCGCTCCCGGGGGGGGGCAGCCCCTGCCTCCTGCTGACTCCCACTCTCTGGAATTCAGTCCCCAGAAAGGAGAGACAGGGTTGGCCATGACTGTGATACGTACCTGCCTGCCAACTGGCGATCGTCAAGTGGAGAAAGAGCTGGAGCCAGAGAGAGCCTTGAGACCAGTCCACTCTTCGAGCAAAGTAAGTCTCTACACAGGTAATTGGTGCCCATGTACTTGCTGGCGTCCAGGCACTGTGTGGCACGGTGCACATCTATCCGTGGTCCGTCGCCCCCTTGACGCCTGAACGTGCCTAAAACAGACTCCCGCCACAGACCCGAGGGCGGCAGGGCAGCTAGCTACCTGGCAGAGTACGTACCGGGCCCCTGGTCTTGCTGCCTCGAATGGAGCACGTTCGCTTCGTTTCAACTCAACCTTCCAACCAAACTGCCGCACACCACTGGACGAGTTCATACCAGCTGCGGAAAAAGTTGCAAGGAAGGTACCTGAATTCAAATCACTTAGCCCAGCTCTGCCTCATCTCTCGTGGGCTGCTGTGTGTTGTGTGCCTGAATTGGATCGGCCGCTGCACCTGGCACGAAGTCTGGTCGATGTTCTGGCAGATCGTTATATACCAAAGCGCCTCCCGCTCACTACCTAGCCGCAGGGTCCTCAAGCTGCCTTGTCTCCCTCTCTCCATCCATCCACCGATCCATCCATCACCCACAACGTCAACCGCCTGCCAACCGAA